ATCCCCCCCTGGGGTTTGCAAGTTACTCACTTAAAACATTCTTAAAATGGTTGGCTTCTTGTTTGCAAGCCAGCTGATATGGTAGCAACTGAAGACTCCAGTGTTTAAATATATGAAAGACTGCTCACCTGTGCTAGAAATAACAGCTTCTAAAGTGGAGATTTAAGGAAAACTTAGTGACTACTAGATTATCTGTAGGACTCTGCATTGTCTCTAATGTTCTTGGTATTTAAAAACATCTTTGTCACAGAAATTTAGTTAACATCTTAAAACTGAATGTGTATGTATGTTGCTTAGATAAACGTACTCACTGTAAACATAAAAAAAAATAATAAAAAATACTTCAAATGACTCCAAACAGAAACTCTGTACCATTAAGCAATAACGTTCCATCTCCCATCACCTCAGCTCCCAGTAACCTCAAATCTACTTTCCAACTCTGTGAATTTGCCCATACTAGATAATTCATATAAATGACATCACATAATATATGACCTTTTGTGTCTGGTTTCTTTCACTTAGCATAGTGTTTTCAAGGTTCAGATGAGGGGAAGGAAGTTAAATGCCACATGAGAGTGGGGGATGCCAGAGTAAGGCAAAGGAGATGCAAGACCCTAGGGAACATGGAAGCAAAGAGATGGAGACAGAAATTTTACAAAATGAATGAAACAGGAAAAGAAGAATCAGGAAGGAATTCTATCTTAGAGTTGTGGGAGGGTGTAGGTCTGTGGAGAGGGAGGCTAAAGATAAAATGCTAGTCCCAGACTTACCGAAGAGGTATAAGAGTAATCACTTGATTTCTGAAATGCTCACAAGTTCCATAACAATTCAGGAACCATTTTTTTCCCACTGGGAATATACTTCTGCATTTATTTTCAAACAGAAGGTTTATTTCTAAAAATAAAGCCTCACTTACCCATGGAATTCTGAAGGTTTTCCATATTTATGAAGAAATCATTTAGACTATATAAATCTCCTTTAGAATCTTAGAAGGTCAATTTTGTAGCTTTAATTTTAAGTTCTTTATTCCTGGAAAGTTTATTTCCAAAAACAACAATATGCCACTATATATCCATTATAATGGCTAAAATCCAAAAAACTGATACACAAATGCTGACAAGAATGTGGAGCAACAGGAGTTTTCAAACTGGTGGGAATTCAAATGGTACAGCCACTTTGGATGACAGTTTTCAATTTCTTACATTAAAGCAAGAGGCTAATAATAGGGGAAATTATGTGTGGGGGAATCTGTTCTATAAGCAAAGTATATTCATAAAAAAGAAAGGCATGCATATAAGCATAACCAATGGATACAAGACACTGGGGTGTAGGGGAGGCCAGGGGAAGGTCAAGGGGAGAAAAAAAAGGAAACATATGTAATACTCTTTGTAATACTTAAAACAATAAAACAAAATTTTTAAAAAAGAAAATAATGGTTAAACACTTTTGCCTGCTATTAGAAAAAAAAGCCATGCAAACTGCCTAAAATTTTATTTCCCCTTACATATTTTGTGGTTGTTTCTATTTATTATCCTTACCAGGATAGCACCCTGACTAAAAATCTGGATTTAATTTAGATAAAAAAAACACCCAAAACAAAGACATACATTTTGATTGCCAGTTCAAACTTTGGGAATTATGAACCAAGGTAACTTAAATCTACAAAGATTATCTAAAATTCTTGGAATGGTACCAAGATGTTCACTACTCAATTCTTCTATGACGTAACCAGAAGTTACAGTCTGAATGGAATATTTACAGTAATCCCTCCTTTAAGGGTTTATTATTTTGACTGGAAGTTTATCTCTGGAGCAATGACATTCTTCCATATTTACTAACTGTATTTGTTCAGTCTTAGTCTTGAAGGTCCTATCTAGCCATTCTGCCCCACTTATTTCTGGGTGGTTTAAAACAACAGAAATTGCCTTAGCCGGTTTGGTCAGCCTGCAGACCAAAGGGTCCCAGGTTTGATTCCAGTCAAGGCCATGTATCTTGGTTGCAGGCTCCTCCCTGGCCCAGGGTTCTGGTCGAGGCTCCGAGGCAACCAATTGATATGTTTATCTCTCATATCAATGGTTCTCTCTGTTTTTCCCTCTCTCTTCCACTCTTCCACTCTCCCTAAAAATCAGTGGAAAAATATCCTTGGGTGAGGATTAACCAACAACAAAACCCACAGAAATTTATTCTCTTTAGTTCTGAAGACCAGACGTGTAAAATCAAAGCATCAGCAGAGCCATAATCCCTCTAAGACTCTAGGTAGGATCCTTTCTTGATTCTTCCTACCTTCTGGTGGCAGCCACCAATCCTTGGTGTTCCTTGGATTAAAGCTACATCACTTAATCTCTGCCTCTGTTATCAGATGGCATTGTCCCTATGTATCTCTCTGGTCTCTTCTCCTTTTATAAGGACACCAGTCATATTGTATTAAGGGTCCACCCTTCCTCACTATGACCTCATCTTAACTTGATTACATTTGCAACAATCCTACTTCTAAATGAGGTCATATTCTGAAATATGGGGGTTAGAATTGTAACATCTTTTGGGGAGAACATAATTCAATCCATACACTAACAGCAAAATGAGGTCAAGTTGTGGGCAAGTTTTGGCCTCTGGCCTATAGCAGACCTTTTCAGAAACAATACCTCCTACTTGCAATAGCCTTGGGAGTCTAGGTGGACCAAAACTCCAACAGTCCCTACCATGTTCAGCATGCTTCCTCAGACACCAGTCTGAACATTCATTCAGGGATTCTACCTAGGTCAGAAGCTCTGCAGAAGCTTTTCTTTTCACTCTCACTGGGAAGGATTGCATAGTTTCTTGAAGCCATGAAGCCTGCCAGTTCATATCACATAGGGAGAACCACCCAAAAACAGGCCTCTAGCCCCCTAAATTGTTCATAGTCTTAATTTTGAATGTCCCACCCTAATCATTCTTCCTCACTTATTCCTGATTCTTTCAGCTTCTGATCTCATGATTCTTCCTTCTGATCTCATAATCCTCATGATTGTGGTTTTGCTTGTTCTTTGGACCTGATGCTCAACACCATTTCTCTGGCTTTGACCAATATCTTTCTCCCTGGGCCTCTATTTGAACTTACCAAAGATCATATTGTAATCATGCATTGTAGAAAATATTCTACAATACCTATCTATATACTAACTAGCACAGTCATTCACAGATAGCACCCTCATTGGATAATACCATCTTCATGAATCAGAGCCAGACATCAAGCTATAACCTCTAAGGTTCTAAGCCATTCCTTATTTTGCCAGGAAAAATTTGACCTTCTTTGATACAGACAGAACCATTCTTTATCCTACTGGGAACATCTTTCTGCATTTATTTTCAAAACTGAAAGTTTAATTTCTAAATAAACTTATATTTTCCCATATAATTCTGAAGGTTTTACATGGTTACGAAAAAATGTCTTGGGGTGTAGAAATCTTCAGAATCTTAACAGTGTCAGTCTTCTGCCCACACAGCTTCTCATGAAATTCATGCACTGGTGGGTGTCTCTCAGCCCAGCCTGCACTCTCTCTAAGTAAAGGTGCCCAATAGCCTTCTAATTACTGCATTTCATAATTTTTTTCAGCTCTCACTCTGCTTGGCTTTATATTAACTTTTGACACTATTGACCACACTCCATATCTCAAAAATCTGCTCTCTCTTATCAATCTGCCTCTGTTATCAGACTTAAGAGATATCATCTCTGCTATTTTCTACAATCTCAATAATCACTTCTTCACAGGCCCCTTTGCTCTCTCTTCTTCCTCTGAACATTCTTTAATCATTGATAATTTCCTAGTCTTTCTCTTTGGCTTTCTGTTCTCATGCTGCACCTTTTGTGGGTGATCCCATTTACTATCATGGTTTCAGTTATATGTTAATGATTTCCAAATCTGTATCCCCAGCCTCGGCTTCTTTTATGAGCTTCAGACCTGTGTATCAGGTTACTGAATGGACATCTCTACTAAGATAATCTATAGGAACCTCAAATTTAACATGTCCAAACAAATCTCATTTACTGCCCATATTGCTTATCTCAATGAAAGTACCATCAGTTTAGATGTTTCCACCCATCGCACCACTCACATCTGATCTACAAGCTCTGCTTCACTTAATTGACCCTTTCTCTTTGAATTTCCTACCTTTACCCTATTTTGAGCCTTCATTATACTTTGCCTAAACTATTTTAAAACCCTATTGAGTGGTTTGTCTCTCCAAACGATTCTCCACCTGGCATTCAGAGTGAAAATGTCACAGCATGAAACTCTTCAGCTGCTGCCCATTGCTTACAGGATAAAGTTCAGTTTCCTAAGTGAAGCATTCAAGAAGAGGACTTTTGCACTTTGAACCTCATCTTTTGACTTGCTACACCTCCTCCCCAAAGCTCCAGTCCTATCAAAGTACTTATAGGATCCCAATGTGCATTATTGTTTTATGCCTTTACATAAACTTATCTCTCTGCCTGGAAGGCTCTCCCTTCTTCACCCCAGATTGCTTAGAAAAGGCTCAGGGACAGACCTCCTGTCTGAAGATCAGATAAGAAAGATGGACCTATGTGAGAGCTTATCCCTATGGGAAGTCTTAGAACACATTCTGTTGAACAATTGCTCCCTTTGCATCTGGGTCCTGGGGCACTATAGCACAGGGATCTTGGAACACTGCCAGAAGCTTCGGGGTAAAGACAACTTCTGTGGTGGGATCTTCCGGATGAGGCTTGGAAGCTGCCAAGTTCTCAGACTGAATCTCCTCTTGGTAGTCTGACAACTTCCCCTTGCCCTAGGTGCCAACATTGTGAGGGATTCTGCTGGGGGGGGGTGTGTTTGGGGGGGCAAGGGGTCAGTTTTCCATAGTTCCACAGACAGCTAGAGTTACACTTGCCTTGGGATCTGATCTGGCTCAGTGGATAGAGCATAAGCCTGCGGACTGAAGGGTCCCAGGTTCGATTCCGGTCAAGGACATATACTTTGGTTGTGGGCACATCCCCAGTATGGGGTGTGCAGGAGGCAGCTGATTGAGGTTTCTCTCTTTGATGTTTCTAATTCTCTATCCCTCTTCCTTCCACTCTGTAAAAAAAATTAATAAAATATATTTTTTTAAAAAATCAGATTGGTGACAGAATTGTTTACATCCCCATTGGCTCCCAGACTGTCTTGTGGCTTGCCTACAGTATTCAACATGCAAAGGGCTTCTTCTTCTAAATAACTTAAAGGATGGGCTCTCTCAACACACCTCAATATTTATTCCAACAGCCCATATTTATTGACAAAGAACTATACACCAGACACTTTACTAAGTACTGAGGACAGAGAAATGTACAAAAAACAGACACACACAAACTCACACAAAAATCACAGCCTATTTAGAAGCTTACAGTCCTGTGTGGAAGAAAGATATTAAATACAAAGGTATATATACATATATATATATTTTAGTTAATAACAGTTGTGAAGGAAAAAGTGCAATGAAGGAAAAGTATAGGGTTGTATGAAGGAACTGGGCCTTTATTAGCCTTACTAGAGGCCCAGTGCATGAAATTCATGCACTGGGGTGTGTCCCTCAGCCCAGCCTGAACCCTCTCCAATCTGGGACCCTTCAGGGGATGTCCAACTGCCAGTTTTGGCCCAACCCCCCCTCACAATCCGGGACTGCTGGCTCCCAACTGCTCGCCTGCCTGCCTGCCTGCCTGATTGCCCCTAACCGCTTCTGCCTGCCAGCCTGATCACCCCTTAACCGCTCTCCTGCCAGCCTGAG